CAATGTGGCTGAGGGGTTAACGCGTCGAGGTTATACACTGCACTGTCATGATTTGAAACTGCAGTCCATCCTGGATGAGAATAACTTTTGTGAAGGCAAGGGTATGTGAAACTTCAACTAAAAATACCCTTATTACCTTAAACGAAATAGGGTGAATGCATCTCATATATATGATCTACTGGTAGTCTCGAAAACCTACTTATTGAAGTAAAAAGCTCACTTTCCTTTTGGCCTGGTTAGGCTATAATTCGTTTGCTGAAGAGAACCTTTTTCCTTTCATATTTCTTACCTTGCACATTATTTATCGTAGTTATGCTTTCTGGTTGCGCTAATATTATCCAGACTTGCTCAGTATGATCGTCATTAGCATAGTCTTGTCCTGCTTGACTTTGGTCTACTTTAACTGTTATTTAGAATAGCGTCCATCCCTTAATTCCGATATACATATTTTATCAATTCCACTTCTATTTTCCTTCTTTCCCGTCTACATTTTTTAGAACCTTTTCCTTTCTGCAGCCGGAGCTCTTGTGTCCAGACTCCAAGAGGTGGCTTCTTCGGTCTCGAAGGGACCACTTCAGTATGATTTTGAGGTGCTTCTCGCTGATTGGGCATGGCTCGCTAATCCTTCTATAATTAGCTTACTTCGCGCAGCTAGGCCTTGCCTTAATCGTAAAGCCGAACTAGTAGATCCAGTCATGCCATATAGTTGTTCTTCTGATCCCTCCGCCTGTCCACCTACATCTAGTGGCTACACGAGCAACAACATCACATCCCGTCACATTAAGTCGCCTGCCGACTGGCCAGGGCTAGTCAGTGGTGAGCGCCTGGATGGATGGTCATCTCGGACGGTGTCTGGTGGACAGCTTCTCGAACAATTGCGATCAGAACTTCGACAAACGACTACTGCCTATTGTCTTGAGGCAAGACATCGTTTTTTTATCATCTTAATTTATTATTTTATATTTTATATCTTGATTCTTTCAACTAAGGGCAAAGTAAAACTACGAGATAACTATTCTTTCGGTGCAACTAATTAGGCAAAACTTGTTTGCTTGAGCTAAAAACAGAATTTGACAATTCTAAAAAAGAAATTAACCATGTTTATGCGGCATAAGTATGGCCTCTAAGTGCTTTAATTCTACGTTCAAAGTAGAGAGCAAGAGTGGTAACAATTTATTTTTCATCTTTGTTTATAATGATAGAAGTGGAATAATTTTTTTAATGATACTACTAAAAAAATGGGCTAAAAAAATTGGATCATGCTGTGTTACTGTAAAGATGAACTTGTCTCCTTGATTCAAAGCTTCTGGACCCAAACTAGATCTTATATGCTGTTGATTTGGCCTCGTTTTCGCAACTTGGTCTTAGCTATAGGGAGAAATTGTGGAACTTACTTAGTCCTAGGTCTACTGCCAAAGTATTCATTATGATTTTCGGCGTCGTATCGTTGACTTGCTATATTTCCAGACGTTTCGCTGGCATCGTCAGTGGGAGGCACACAAAGTTACAACTTGTCAAAGTGACAAGTTAAGACAATCACCTTGACCACTTTTCTGTTCGACCCTTGTGGCATCACTCCTTGCTCCTATTTTTTGTTCTAACTTCTAGAGATGCATCTCTTTCTCTTAACCCCACTCCATATACCCCATTTACCTATTCACAACTTTCTGTGTTTTCATTTCCTTCAATGTTGCCTAAGAGTGGGTTGCTCCAAGTGGATTTAGTGAAGAATAATTACTCTCAGCATCGGTCTTAGATGCCGTTCGCAGGAGTTATGACTTGCATTTAGCCCCCCTCCACCCCGCTTGTCAGTTGTTGCTTGCTACACATGAAAATCACTGTATGGCTGTCTGAATTCTGGCTGCCTACGAGCCTTTGAATCCGATTCCCGTTTACGTCATATTCGAGGATTAGAAGATTGATGAATTTCATGCTCAGGCCTCTCCCTGAATCGTTGCTATAAGGATAAAAATGGTGAGGTCTTCTGTTTGGCTGCAGTCTCCTTTAGCTGTATAGTGTTGCTTTTTTATTTCAATGTCAGAATCATATAGGTCTCACGACAGATAATCATAAATAAAAAATTATCTCAATTTATTGTGCCATTCTTTCAACCATCAAACATATCATCCGTTTATTTAACGAATCTTCAAATCTTGCCTCAGATCCTCCAAATATTTTGAATACCATTAATAAATTCATAATTTGATAAATCCTTTTTCTTCATGTTGCCTAGAATGTTAGCGAATGCATCTAATCCTAGACTGATAAGCTTCCTTTTGACCGTTAGATGCCCATATAAATTAGAGGAGAAAACATCATTAGTCCTTATTTATATTTTCTTATTTAGTTATAGCTCAGGACCCATTTATATCCTATTTAGGTATAATGCTAAAGCATGCTTTATGAAATTTACATGTATTTTTTATTGACAAAAAGATACATTACTTTTACAGTAAGGAGGTTTTCATGCGAAACATGCTTGAATGAAAGATATTCATCTCTTGATACCTCGGAATTCTAGTCTGGAAACC